GTAGGACAGAGTGCGCACATAACCTCAAGTAATGAGTGAAGAGGTTTTAAGAGCTCAGAAACATCAACAGCTTGGTATACTAACAGCCAGCAGAAGAGACATGTGGCCACCAAGAAAGATTTGCTGGTGAGTACACCTCCTGCTCATTTTCAGAAAAAGCTAAAGAACTCTGAAAAATGAGAGTAAGTGGCACTCAGGAAACCTGTGGAAACTTAGAGTTTACTATGATACATTAAGTGCCAACGATATTATTATAATAAAAATGAAAAGTAATGATACTAGACATATATATGTATGTACATATTCATGAATATATTTGCTGAGCACTTCATCTGAAAAATGATCCCAGAAAGCACTTTTGAAAACTTAAGGGATGATGATAAATTGAAGAACTACTTTGGCAAAAGCAATCCCAAAACATTCTTAAATGATAAAGTACATATAAATCCAGAAGCCAATAAATAATATACGAGGCAGCATTGTCAAAAAAAATATTAAGTTATATGATACAGTTAAGATCTATTGCCTAGTTCTTAAATCAACTCTTTTGAGTTTAAAAAGGGTCACTCAAAATCTAAGCCTTCCTTTGTTTAAACACTAAAAACAGTTTGGCTGGATTATAATTATCCCTAGTGTAATACTACTTTGAATGTTTTTTTTATCCACCAAAAAAATATGGCACTAAGGGAGTCTTGGATATTCACTTGTTTCCAATGCTAAAAATTTAACAGCGTTTGGTATTATGAAAATTAGGATTACATTTGTATCATAGCTTAAAAGACAGGGGTCCATAGGGCATAGACATAACTTTTAGGGGGGAAAATCCATATATGAACCATGATTTCTTTGTAGTATTATTTAGCACAAGAAAAAATATTTCCTCTCAACGATATGCTTTATTTCCCCAATTACTGTTGAGTCTGACAACAGTTCATATTACTGTTCTACTATACTTACGGATCCTGCAGATGTTACAGCCTTTGTGAATTTTAGTTTTGTCACCTATTAATAGCATGGAAATGTTAATCTACTAACTTTACAAGATTGTACTATGAGTTAAACTGAGTAACATAAAAAGGCTTATGCATGTATGTCTATCTCAGAAGTATTAATTTCTATCACTCTAGATTTAAAAAAGATTCTACTTACAGGCCGGGCGCGGTGGCTCACGCCTGTAATCCTAGCACTCTGGGAGGCCGAGGCGGGCGGATTGCTCAAGGTCAGGAGTTCGAAACCAGCCTGAGCAAGAGCGAGACCCCATCTCTACTATAAATAGAAAGAAATTAATTGGCCAACTAATATATATATATATAATTAGATGGGCATGGTGGCACATGCCTGTAGTCCCAGCTACTCGGGAGGCTGAGGCAGGAGGATTGCTTGAGCCCAGGAGTTTGAGGTTGCTGTGAGCTAGGCTGACGCCACGGCACTCACTCTAGCCTGGGCAACAAAGCGAGACTCTGTCTCAAAAAAAAAAAAAAAAAGATTCTACTTACAGAAAATAGTATTCTTATAAAAAAGAAATGTGGTATCATTAATATTTCACACTGTTATTATTTGGGTTCCATTACATGGCATTAAGTTCTAGTAAATCCTAAGGAAAGGTATTTAATTATTACTTTGGCCATATAAATCCACAAACACAAATAGTCAAGGTCATTCAAGGTCATTTAGAATTTTTATAGCACCCTAAATTTGGGGTGGGGAAAGACCCTGAAAATAATTTAACTCTATACATTTATGACAAAATAAAAATGAGTGCTGAAGCAGTTAAATGGATCTGCTCAAGCTGTATAGCTAATAAGGCTAAGAAATATGAAAACCAACTGGGCACAGTGGCTCACCCTTGTAATCCCAGCACTGTGGGAGGCTGAAGCACGAGGATTGCTTAGGGTCAGGAGTTTGAGACCAGCCTGAGCAAGAGAGAGACCTTATCTCTACAAAAAACAGTAAAACTAGCAAGGCACGGTGGTATGTACCTGCACTCCCAGCTACTTGGGAGGCTGAGGTATGAGATCACTTGAGTCCAAGAGCTTGAGGCTGCAGTAAGCTATGATAACACCACTGCACTCTATCCTGGGCAACAGAGCAAGATCTGGCCTCAAAAAACAAAACAAAAAAAAGCACAAAAATGAAATGTGAAAACCTAGGCTCTTCAATTTATAGTCTAACTGTTCATTACATCAAATATACCACTTTACATTTCAAAAATTGATTATATTTCCCCTTCTGGGTTTATAGTGCTTTTTCCACATCCAAGGTGACATATTTTTCTGAAAGTTTGCTGTATCACTATTTTTAGGCAACCAATAATCTTCCTCTGTTAGGTTACCTATCCAAACAACTATTTTCTCTTTCTTGCTTCCTATGAAAATCCTGATTTACTCCTGGCAATATAGTCAATGAAGATGAACCCTTATTCCTGCTCCAAGGGATGAACCAGGTGATGAACCACGAATGATCTAGCAAAAAGCTAATCCCATTCTACTTTGCAGGATTAATTTAGATTGATTCTGTAACCAATGGAACATCAGGAAGAAGTTTTATGAGGATTCTGGAAAAGAGGTTTTTCATGGTTTAAAAAAAAAAGGAAATGTATAGTAGTCCTCTTTCCACTTTCGTTAGCTGTTTGACATAGCTACATGATGTCAAAAGTCATCTCTTTACTCTGAGGAGAAAGCCAAGAGTCTCACAGAGAAGCTCTGACATTTCTATCTTAACCCACTCGTAAATGGGAATTATTACACAAGCAACAAACCTCTATTTAGTCAGGTAGTCAATTATTTGTGACCCAAAGCCTCCAAATAGAAAACTCCAGTATTTTCTAGTGAAATCATCTTACCTAATTTCTACAACAGAAGGCTTTTCCTCATACAAAGCAATATAATCTTTAAAATTAGAGTTTTGTTAAAAATCAGCTGTGTTACAAGAAAAATGCTGTTTAATGGTTTACAAAATTCAAAACTTCAGGATTTGACTAAAGGAAAGAATCTAAAATTAAATAATAACTATTTAACAATATAGAAACAAATCTGAACTGACATCCATTCTAAAAGTTTATTAAAAACTTCAAAAAACATATGAAAAAGATGATTTTCAAAGTCAGATGTTATTTTTCAAATACTTGCATAAACTTATTTTAGAAAAACTGTACATCATACTGACAAAACTTAACAATATTTTATTATCCATTATAAGTCAGTAGAATTTACATGACAAATCAGTGTAAGTTTCACTCCAAACACCCAGTGCTTCTTAAAATGCCACATGATTTCCTTATCATGGAGGACAAAAACATAAAAAATCTGCCATCTTAAATTAGAAGAACGACTAAAATTTTAACAAATCTTAACATTATGGCAATACTTTCAACTACTAAGAGTCACAAGGCAAATGGCCTAAAAGCAATCATAAAATTATCTATCAAAAACCTGTCTGTTATGGCACAAGACAACTGTCAAAAAGTTACCCTCAAGAAGGTGCTACTGATGAATAAAGTGATGCTCAAAATAACTCTGAATAATTTTTTAATAAATTTAGTATAATTTGATTAATAACAGAAAAGCAATGTTGATTAAAATAAACTTTGTAATGATGGGGAAATTAGTCACGGTAAGTGGGATCACATATCAAACTTCCTCATGAGGATAAAATTTGTTACTACTATTAAAATAAAACAAAAACAAAAACCTCTATAGAGTTAAACAGAACAGAAAGCCTGTTTTCCATGTTTTCATAAATCTATACCCCTGTAGCTTTTTCTGTTCTAAGAAAAGTAGACTCTCCGGGACACCCTGGGTAAAATGATCCATTTCAAATAAATAAATCCTGAATTAGGTACATGTTTCCAACTAAATATAAACTTAAAAGCAATTCATTTAGAAAAGGTTTAAGAAAAAAAATGTAATGATAGCATTTTGGTCAGTACCCAATTTTAGAATTAACCATTTCAGCCAACAATTAAAATCTATTCAACATAATCCACTTTTTAAAAATAAGGTAAAAACTTTCTATATCTACTTAACATTAAGTAGTCATAGTAGTATTGTATAAAAATAAAGAGGAAAGATGAGAGCTCAAAATGAGCTTGCACAGGGAGCTTTCCTTAGAACTAGTCATTTCTGTCATTTGTTTTGGTGTTGCTACAGCAACTTTATGAATCATATGACTCTTTACTACCTCCATAACTCAGGGGTACATTTGTTTCCAGTAAAAATATATACATTAGTAAATTATGCACTTCAGCCAGTTTAGTAAATTAAAGAAACTACTGGCCACCAGAGAAACATACAAAAGAGAAAATTATCCATTTATTCCCTTTCCAAAACTATCCACATGTCCTAAATATTAAATCTACTAAATCTTTAGGTTTCAAAACTTTTTTAAAAAGATCTATATACTGAGACTACTCACTCAGACAAAAATTAATCAGGAGTTTTTGCAAAATGCTCACCATGATTATTCACAGAAAGCAAATTTTATCTTATAAATAATCAAGTTAGATATGTTTTAACTTAAAAAGAACTCTCATCTGAAGTACACATTAAACTAATGGTAAAATGCCATGGTTTCTTCAATTTACTTTTAAATGAAGTTCAGCAAAAGAAAAAGAGGAAAAAAATACACATATATGTAAAATCTGTGTAAATATAAGAGAAGGCAAATATGGCAAAATACTATGAAGCTGAACCTAAGTGTAGGGTATATGGGTAGTCAAGAGTATTTTTTTCAACTTTCCTGTGTTTGAAAATTTTCAAAGTAAACAGCTGGGAGAACAAAGGAATCTAAATGGCTTCTAGAACTCTTACATTTTTAGTTGTTACCCTGAATATATGTCCAATGTTTTCCTTTTTATCTCCTTTTATCTGTTTTCCTTCTGCCCTTATTTAAAATAATGGTTACAAAATTGTGGGGGTTTTTTAAAAACAAAAATCATGATTCCAGGAAAGAATTTTAAAAAGTAGTTTAAAAGGCTAGTTTCAGTGAATTAACTGTTTTACCTGAAAGTTAACATCTTCTTTCTTAAATATTAGTGCTCGAACTTCATCAGGATCTCCATTAAATATTGCTTGGACCAGGGATGGCTAAAATATAAGAGAGTAATAAAAACATTAAGTCACACCACATGGATGATTCTAAAGATATTTCTCTACATAACTTCTAAATCTAAAAGTGTTCTTCCCTGTAGCAATAATCACTTTTGATATTAACCAGAAGTTTCATGAAGCCAAATCATATAACAATATAGGATTCTTCCTTAGGAAAAATAAAAGAAAAAAAAGATAGCCTGACCTTAAAAAAAAAAAAATCAATTTAGTTTGACCGAAACTTGGTAGCATAATAAACACAATCAAGTTTTATTTCTTATAAGTGGAAGTCTTTTGTTTGTATATGGTAAAAAGAAAGACTCTTCCAAATATAAGTGTGACATCTCAACATCTACTTGTGAGAGAAAACTGGTCAAGCAATTCCCATCCCATGAAGAAAGGACCCTTTGAAAAGGTCTGTTCACACTGAAATAGCTTGCATGGGTTATCATTACATGTATAAAGACATAAGTCCCAAGAAAAGCAAATGTGGCAATTGATGAAAATAACCAGAATTAAAAGATCAAAAAATACTATATGCCTGAATAATATTAAGACAAACACATGCATGTCTAAATATAACTTCCTAATCAACAACACAGCTTCTCTGATAAGGTATCATATTATACTAGTCAAATAAGGAGCAGTTGACAACAGCATTAAAAACAAGGTTATCGATGAAGAAAAAAATCACATAAAGATTCTTTTTCATATAAAGTCTTACATGTAAATACATAAAATTCATTACAGAAATGGCCATGCAGTAATAGTAGGCAACTTTTCCTAAAATATGCAGAGTTCCTGATTCTTGTTACATCAGTTTCTAAAACCGCAAAATGAAAACAGAAACGTGGTTGCTGCAACTACTATTTCACAAATCATTTTTTAAAATCTTAAGAGATTAAGACATAGTAAAGTCTGAAATGTTATCTAAGCACTTGAAAAAGTAAAAAAATGTGTGCTTTTTATACACAAATAATATTGCATCATAATTATACATACATTGCTTTCAGTCTGTAATGAAACTAGTGGGAACATATTTATTTTTAAAAAAGAAGTTTAACACTACTAATTCACCAGAATACAATATAACATAAACTCTCATATCTTACCAATACATTTCCAGAAGGTAGAGAAGGTAGGGATTTGTTTTCCTGTGGCAATTTAGAAATGAATGCAGGAGATTCATCTTCTACCTCCTCCAAAACAACAATACACACTCGACTCATTCGCTCTTTTAAAATGCTAAATTCCAAGCTATGTGATAAAAGTCACAGTTGGAAGAGCACAAGTAGTTTTTCCTTTTCTGTACAATACTTATGAACATTCTCTGAACAGAGCAGCTGTTTTTTTTAAAGTTAAGTACTACTGGAAAAACTGAAGTTTAAAATTATGACTACATAACTTGTAACTTCCTAAAAATAATAAAATTCTGTTATTTTCTGTTGGGTTACTGCAATACTTAAAAGAAATTTCACATCAACATGTCAATAATCAAATCTGAGTCCAGTATAAGCTCATTTAAAAACATTTTTCCCTACCAAAATAGTCATATTGCTCTATCTCTGAAATTTACTTGACAAAATGATCATTGTTTTTGATGGCACAAACACCACCCGATGAAGAATGCAATGAGAAACAAGTGCAGTCACAGAGATGATCACAGCTATACCTACACTCCTGCCCGCAAGGTCATATAGTTACCAGAAGCTGGCTTGCTTATAATTGAAAATAAAAATAAAATCTCACTATTCTGTTTCCACTTCTAATTTGTCTTCATTTCTTTAGCTTCACTGGTTTATTACAAATAGTATCCAGAAAAAAAAAGATCTAGAGCTCAGCACAAATCCCGAAAACGAAGCTCAGAGGTTGACAATTCTTTCTGTGTTTAGGAAAGGGAGAAAAAAAGCACTCTGCATTAATAGCAGAGCTGCAGTACATTTACATGTGATGAGTCAGACCACAAGAGACAATAGGACTCTTGGTACTAGAATACAGCTTGATTAATCCAGATTTCCCATATAATAGAAGAAACACAGATAGCTTTATTCTCATCGATAGCTTAAGCAAGGCAGAGCGTTCATTCTTTCTCCCTCAGGCAGTTGACTGTGGCTGCTCCAGCAAAAGGGCACAGGCACCAGGCAGAAATGGTGTTAGTGGAGAATCCTAATACAACACGCAGGCTGTGAAGGAATTAGAAGGCATCTGAGCTCAAATTACTGCTTCAGCTTTTTGTGTTTTTTTTTTAAAAAAAAAAAAAAAGAAAGAAAAAAAAACCAGTTTATCATTCCAGTGTTTCCTTTGATCTCCACATGAATACAGCTCCCATAAAATAGTCTTCATTCAAAGGAAAAAACAGCAGACTGTGCATCTTCTGGGCCAACTACTTTATTCAATCATCTGCTTCTGTGCCAATATAGTTTCCTTCCCCTGTGAAAACCGCTACAGTTATCCTTTTTCAGTAGATTTCAGATGCTTTCCTGTTCATCAGATGATCTTGCAAAACGCCACTGACATTCACAAGTGAGTAGATTCTTAAAAATATCTATAGAACCTCAGGATCGGACCCACAGAAGCATTCCAATTGAGCAACAGCCTGAAGAGCAAAGAAGACTGCAGACCCGCAGGATGAAATGCCTAGTAATGCTCACATGTTACACTTACCAGAGATCTGAGCTACTGCTCAGGATGTAACTTCCTCTAGCAGAAGAAAAAAACAGTGCATTTGGACAGCCTTCACAATTAGAAGGTTCATGCCAGTTCTGTGACTAATCCAGATCAAACTGAAAAATTCTATAACTGAAAAAACGAGTGTGCTTTTAACATTTTCCACTAAAAGCCACAAGGAAATCTGGTGTACTGCCTCTGCTGACTAACAACGGTTTTAGCAAGTAAACAATTCCAAACAGCTTAACTGCTTTCGTATGTTACAATATAGCAAATGTTTAACCCTATAATGACAAATGCAGTTAAGAACATGTGCAGTGAACTCAAAAGAGATTTAGAAACAAAACAGAAATATTTTATGAGATTATAAAAATTATGGAACTAAGTTATAGTTTGAGTTTAATTTTTAGCAAGACCATTTTTAATCTGCCAGACATTATTTTCTAGAATGCAAAGACATTTTTAAGATTTTCTAACAATTTTTAAATTGGTAAATTTAGCCAATCATTGATTCATTTTAAAGTGAGTAATAAAAATTCCATAATGTAGAAATTGTAATCAAAATTCGATAAATATTTGAATTTTCATTGAATAAATTAAATAATCTTACCTTCCCAACTGAATATGGAATAAAGTCTTTAAAAATCTGTTAAATAGCTACAAGAAATGGTTGTCCTTGGTTCTGAATTATCTATATGTCAAAAAGGCATATGGTAACACCAAAAAACCCCCCTCAAAACCTCCCTCCCTATAAAATTATTTTCCCAAAGCTATAAGTAAATGTCAAAACCGATCATTCTGTAGTTGGCTTTTTCATCTTTTCTGTTTACTCAATGATGAGGATACTTCCCAACAGAAAACTTACAAAGAAAGTATCATGGTCCCCCTTCAATTCATGTTCTTTCTTCTGTGAACTAGTATTTACATTAATAAGGTTTATTTTTAACATTTATGATGTGCTAGGTGCTGTACATGCTCATCTAATACAATAACCTTGTTATATTCTCATATTACTACAGAAAAAACAAACTCAGAAATGAAGTATTTTACCCAAAGTTATGCAAATTAGCAAAGTTGTGTCTAATTCCAAACACATGCTCTTTCTAAGCTATTCTGTTCCACTGAGTATACACACACTCTCTCCAGATCTTTGCAACCTATAAAACTAACTTGTAAAAGTGAGCTTACCAGGTATCCTAAACAGTTATCAAAAGTTTAAGTAACAAAGGAATATATTATTTATTGCGATATTCCAAAACATGTTATTTTTAAATGGTTATGTCAGAGCTAGTCTTACCTCAACGTGTTTTAGTTAGTTTATTTATCAAACCATAAAAAGAAAAAAAAAAACTCAGCATAATATAGATAATATAAGAATGCCAGAATTTAGGAACAAAAAAACATTCAAAGCTACAGCATATCAATTCATGAAAGAAGCTATAACCCTAGGTTATCTGTACCAAGATAACTAAAATATGCTAACAATTCACTAGTTTTATTTTAAAATATATAAAATGCTTTTAAGCCAAATTAAAGATATGCAAATGTTTTAACATATACAAATGATGTTATTCATCTCCACATGACTGTATCAAAAATATCATCTTAATAGTTGAAATATCTGAAAACGAAACCACTATAGCAACAATATCCTATATCCCATCTTCAGGGTCCCCACATCTCCATCCCACCAAAACAAAATCTTTTATATAGACAATCTTAACTTGTTCCAAAGTATCTAGTGCATAAATTCACCCACTTTGATTTAAGCAGGAATATCCTGTTTCTTGTTCTAGGTCAACCTCCATACTTAGGTCTTCCCCAACCAAAAAGTAAGCTCCTTGAAGGCATGGACCGTGTTACATACATATTGTTTCTGTCCACTTCCATCTATAAATAATTTTATAGAAATGAATTCTGTATGTCACAGACTCTGGAATACAGTGGCGGAATTATAAAAAAAGATTGGGGGGGGTGTTGATATACCTTGATCAGAAAACATAGGAGGGATTACAGTGCAACAAACTGAGTTTTGTACCTTTAATAAGTGAACAACTAAAATTTAGAAGTTGACAGGATATAAAACAAGGATATAAGTGATGGCTAAAATGAAGGGCTCAGAAATCAGTCTGCTTAAAGCTCAAATTCTGATTGTATCATTTCCTACATGTATGCCTGGGTAAGTTACTTAAATTCCCTGAGCCTAAATTCCTTGATAAGAATAATCATCTCCAGAAAGTTTTATCAGGAGAAATACAGTAACAACATAGTGCATGAGAGTGCAGGCTTTGTAGTCAAATTGCCTGGAGTTCTAATCCAGACTTCCCCACTAACTAACCTAACCCTGTGACCTTGAAGAAGTTATTTAACCTCTTTGTGTTTAACATCTATTAAATGTTATTAACAGATTCTGCTTCACAGTGTTGTAAAATTTAAACAAGATAATATTATGGATATCTCGGGTAGTTGAATGATATCACTTGTAAAGCCAATAAATGAATAAAAGGCTGTTGAATTCCCCCCAACCCCAGTACCAATGAGGTAATTCAGACCAGTGTCTAGAGTTTCCTTCAGTTGCTAAGTCCCCACCCTTTACAGAGCCCTCCTTTAAAGAGACTGCTAGAAGCGTGGTTTAGAGTCCCAGGCATTCTCAAACTGCAGCCTGTTGAGGACACATTTATCCAGCCCGCCAGGTGTTTTTGCCAGGTGTTTTTGCCGCAGCTGCCTGTCCTGCATAGCAGCCCACTTGTCCCGGGCTCACAGTGCACATGTGTGGAATGTGCGCTGCACTCTCCAATGGCCCTCCAACGGTCTGAGGGACAGTCAACTGGCCCCCTGTTTAAAAAGTTTGAGGACCCCTGGTTTAGACTCTAGTAACCAGACAAGTGTTATTGTGGGCAGGGAGCATTAAATTCAGGCAAGAAGGTCTACGAGTTTTTCCATTCTTCCACGCTCATTGTATTTTACAGTTTAGGGAAAGAAAAAGGGTAGAAATTACTGGCCCATGATATATTATAAAATCAAAGATAGATGATAAAGACTTCCATTTTTAATTATTTAAATTAGCAGCACCATATAACCCGATTTTGTAAATTCTTAATTTCTACTAAGACAAGCCCCTACCCTCAAAGGAACTCACATCTTAAAGGAAAAGGAGAGAGGTAAATAACTATTTAAGAAATTAAAAACGGAGAAAGTACTTCAGATGAAAAATTACTGACAAAGATTATATAAATTGTAAATTCAACATTTTTTTTCCCAGTTAGAGAAATAGCAAAGAGATGTGGTTTTTATTTTAGGTATTTATTTCTTTTAGGCCAAATTAGATTAAGTTTTAAATAAACAAGTTCAACACTGACAACTTCATAATTCTTTCATTCTTTATACTAAAATGTATCCTTATCAAGAGCTTATTCTACTATTGATAGGATTACATAATGATTAAGCCAGTTTAAGCCTTTACTGATTTAAAAAAACCCAAAAACTTAAGGCTCTGAAAGATTATTTTTAGGTTCCTAATTTTGTTACACCAAAATTTCTTTTTTTGACACAAATGATTTTTCCCTTCGGCATTGAGATTCAACCTAAACCTCACCTTATCTCTTACGCCTCTATGAGCTCCATATGATTATCATAGGATAATGGTAATTTGACTCGGATAAGTCAAATTAAGTCAATGGTAACTTGACTTAGGATATATTAAGTGGCTACTCTGTGCCAAGTGCCAAACTAGTCTCTGAGTATTCAAAAATAAAAAGCTTGTGGTGAAAGATAAATAACAAAGTGGGTTCAAACCATGTTTCAGAAAACCTTTCTGGTAGATTAAGAATCTTGAACAATCTTCTTGAGCTATGCTTCATCTATCCAAATACTTTAAGGATAGTCTTATGAATAGAGTTTACAGAAAATGAGGTAGACAGTAAGAAGAGGAAAAAGAAAAATCAAGAAATAGCTGAATTCTAGGCTACGGGTCAGAAGCTATGCAACTATATTAGTAGAACCACTGTAAGAATTCACTATATATTTAAAACACAATGAATGAACTCAAAATCCTCAAAATAGATCAGATTTAATTCTCTACGTGTAATATATTTATGACCTAGGGCAGCTTAAAAAATGTTTACCCAGGCATATTTCAAAAATTGCTAATAACTAATGTTATCTGAAGATCCCACCAGTATGTTACAATGGTAATAAATTGTTAACCCTTTGAATATTATTGTATTCTGCAGATTGTTAGCACACATTAATATTACACACATTCTTTACAAAGATCTGTATTTTGCATCTGTTCTTCCAGTATTCCATTGAACTATAATAATCAGCTTTTATGTAAATACAGAGCTTCACAGAATAAAGACTACATTTCTCAGCTCCCTTGTAGCTAGGAGCCACATGACAAAGTTCTGATCAGCATTTTAAGCAGAGGTATTATGTGGCTTCCAGAAAACTTCCTTAAAGGCCAACTGGTATATCCAGCCTGCTTCTGGGAACACAGATGATCAGCCACCATCATAAACCAACTCTAGGGTAGTAGAACTACAAGGCTAGAAAGGAGCTGGGTCCTTGAGGACTTTGTGGAACAGAACTGCCATACAAGTCCTGGTCTGCCTGCTTTTTGACTTTTATGTTAGACAGAAATAAAAACTTCTGCTTTAAGTCACTATAATTTTGTGTCTTTGGGACTTGGATCTGAACCTAACTTTAAGTGATAATCTTACTTTTCCCTTAATTATCTATGAGTGTGCATATATCCTTCCAGCCTTGTTCTTCCACCGTCTATATTCCAATATAGCATAGTTACTTTAATTTTTAGTAAGATGGATTAGAAACACTAGCTCTAACAAACTGCACTAGAAACAGTAACTGACTAGAAATCTTGCTTGGAAAATAATTCATGTATTATCCTGAGTAAGTGAACAAAAATCAGAGGAGGGAAAAGGAAACAAACAGTTATCACAGATATTCTTCATGAA